TTGGGGGGGGGGTGTTCACCTCCTGGTGTGACGGTGCCAACGTCCTGCACCGTCAGCACAGACAGTCGCTCCTCGGTGTCCACTCTGACCACGCCGTAACTCAGACCCTGCATGGAGAGGACGCCTCGACCTGGAGGTTGGCTGCTGTCCTCCACGGGCCTGGGACACACACTGGTCGTTACACACTACAAATGACACACACTATAAATGACACCATATGAAATCAATAACGTTCACCTCCTGATGGCGACGGTGAGCGCCTCGGGCGAGCTGGCACAGGGACAGATGACCTCTCCTCGCAGACCTTTGGTCTGAAAGACGTTGAGGAAGGCGTCACAGGAGGAGATGGACCCTGATGGACACAGACCAGGGTCAAACATCATCAAACTCAAACTCAAACTGCTGCAGTACCCAAATGATCCACCAGAGGGCTGAGACAAGGAGAGAAGGCGAGGTTTTGGTAAAGGAGAGAGGAGGAAACAGAAGCAGCGGATCATCTGTTTCTTTAAGAGCTGAGGCTCCGCCCCCTGCGTTTTCAGGATTATTTTTAGTCGCAGCTCTGAGAAGGAGAAACTTCTCTGTGTTTGATTCCTGATCAGAGATAAAAGCTGCTGCTGAGTGTGAACAAAAACAAACGTGAGTCCTTGTTGGACACGTCCCGCTCTATTCCTGGACCACGACCCAGATTCTACGTCTCCCACGAGGACGGCCCTCCCTCTGGTCCTCCTCCTCCTCCTCACGTTATCTCCAACCGCTGAGCCGAGGAGAAAGAACAGGAACGAGACGCAAAGAACTGAGAAAGGAGAAGAGGAGGAGGAGGAGGAGGAGGATTCTCACAGGGATTTGAACCATCGGCCACCAGCAGCATCCTCAGGGTGCTCAGGTTGATGTCCTTCTGGTCTTTGTGGGCCACCAGAGCCCAGTGCATGTCCCTGGACTTCACACAGGAGACCTTAGCTGCAGGTACACACACACACACACACACAATTAAATGTGTGTGAACAGAAGGTGAAGAGACAGAGGTGGGAGACAGGTACGTGTGTGTGTGTGTACGTGTGTGTGGACGTGTGTCTGACCTTTATATTGACAGACTTTCTGGATCCACGACAGAGGGTTGACCTTCATCAGTGAGTAGGGAACGCTGATCACGTGCATCATGTTCATCACGCTCTGCAACACACACACACACACACACACACACAAACCAAAGTAAACCAGCAGCCGGTCGACAGGTGGAACACTTGACAGGAAGTTCTGGACCCAGGTCCAGGTCCAGGTCCTGGTCCTGGTCCTGGTCCTGGTCCTGGTCCAGTGGTGGAGGTCTTACCGTCAGGATGCCGTGCCACAGACCAACGTCCTTCTTAAAGTCCAGGACGTTCACGATGGTCTCAGCTGTGGACACACACACACACACAGGTGAGTCGACAGACACTGAGAGTGTGTGTGTGTGTGTGTGTACCCTCAGTGTAGCAGCAGGACTGGGTCAGCGCCTGGCAGTGTGTGAGCAGAGCGATCCTGGTCACGGTGACTCCTAACACACTTCCATCTTTACAGGTCTTATACTGGAGGAGACAAGGAGACGAGGACATGATGTCCACCAGCAGGACAGACAGGACTCTGAACGACAGGGTGTGTGTGTGTGTGTGTGTGTGTGTGTGAGACCTCGATGTACGCCGTGTCGTTGTTTGCGTCTTTGATGTGAGGAAACCAGTCCCGCGGAGGTTTGGACAGATGTTTGGACTCCGTGACAAACCACAGGAGTTTAGGCCAACCTGAAGGAAAGGAACCAAGGAAGGAAGGAAGGAAGGAAGGAAGGAAGGAAGGAAGGAAGTAGGGAGTGTGAGACAGAGGGGGGAGAAAGAGGGGGGAGGACAGAGGGGGAGGGGCGAGGGGGGAGGACAGAGGAGGGAGGACAGAGGAGGGAGGACGGCGGGCTGACACTGACCATACTCAGCTCAC